ATTCCATTGGGTCTATAGCCACATCTTCTTTATCCATTCATCTACTGATGGACACTTAAGTTGCTTCTGTATCTTGGCTATTGTGAATAATGTTGCAATAAACATAGGGGTGCATATATCTTTTTGAATTAGTGTTTTCATTTTCCGCCAGGTAAAGACCCAGAAGTGGAATTACGAGATTGTATGGAACTTCCATTTTCAGCCTTTTGAGGAATCCGTATTGTTTTCTATGGTGGTTGCACAAATTTATATTCCCATGAACAGTGCACAAGGGTTCTCTTTTCTCCACTTCCTCACCAGCATTTGTTATTCCTTGTCTTTTTGATACTAGCCAATCTGACAGATGTAATGTGATATTTCATTGTGGTTTTGATTTGCATTTCCCTGATGATTAGTGATGTTGAGCATCTTTTCATGTGTCTGTTGGCCACCTACTTTTTAAAATTATCTATCAAAGTCAATATTTCCTGCTTCAAAGAAGCTCTATCTCTTTTGTCTAAATTGTTATACTTACATTGTCAGTTAAAGTAAATTTAAAGTTGATCATACATCCTGGTTTGGGTCACCTGCTATCACCTGCTTTGCATGCTTTCATCCTGCTTATTAGTCTGCTGACAACTGGTTCACTTTGAAAAAGCTCCTTTGGTTTTGGAGAATGTATTAATTTCCTATGGCTGCTGTAACAAAATATACAAACCTAGTGGATTAAAGTAACGCATATATATTCACTGACCGCTCTGGAGGCCAGAAGTCCAAAATCAGTTTCACTGGGCTAAAGTAAATGTGTCAGCAGGACTGGTTCCTCCAGAGGGCCTAAGGGGAGAATCCATTTCTCTGCTTTTTCCAGTATCTAGAGTTTTGTCCCTTCCATTTCTTGGCTTGTGGCACCTCCCTCCATCTTCAAAGACAGGGTCTTAGCATCCTCTATTTTCTTTCTGGTTTGGTCACATCATTTTCTCTGTGGTCAAATCTTTCTCTGCCTCCTTCTCATGAGGATTCTTGTGATCACATTGGACCCAGCTGAATGATCCAGGATAATCTCCCCCATCTCAAGATCCTTAATGTAGTTAGAGTTACAAATCCATTTTGTCATATAAGGTAATACTCACAGGTTCTGGAGAATGGGACATCAACATTTTTAGAAGGGCTTTATTCATCCTGTCACCAGGAATACACTTGGGCATGGGATGTGTATGGGGTAAAGAAGGTGGGAAAGCTCTTACATAACACTTTCAGACAGTAATAGTAATGCTACATGCTCACTATGTGCCCACCTACGTACCATCCTGGAACCTCTATGAACATCAATCGATTTAATCTATACTAGTCAGAGAGTGGGGCTGGCAGTCAGTTGGTACTCACCAGTGGTCTTGCCTCAGCACTGACAGAAGCCAGAAAGTGGCAGCCAGGTGCAAATCCTGGTACTCTGGGTCCAACATCCAAGAATCTAACCACTCTGCTCTACTGCGGTGCCTGCCCCTCATTATTTAAGAAGCAAACTGCTGCAGAGACAGTAACAGGCAGTGGGTCTCCATCCCAGGGCATCAAGAACCCTGAGCCTTAGAGTTAGAGCTTTATTGCTTATGTTCTTACTCATCTCACTTCGTAGTTGGGGAATAAGGCTTGAAATAAGAAATTAATTAAAATTGAATTCAGCGAAATTGAGAGATTGATTTACTCAACACTACACAGCTGGGGTGGTAAAGCCATTGGGGGCATACTGTGTTTTCCTAACCTACTCTAGGGTAAGAATATTCACTAAGCTCCCCTACTTCTCAAAGGGACACCCCTTGGCATTTGTGTTCCCCTCCAAATTCATACGTTGAAATCCTAACCCCTCGTACTTCAGAATGGAATCATATTTGGAGGTAGGTAGAACCTTCAAAAAGGTCATTGAAGTGAAAATAAGGCCCATAGGATAAAGCCCTATTCCAATATGACTGATACTTATAAGAAAAGAGACATAGAGATGTGCATGCAAAGGAAAGGTCATGGGAGGCCATAGTGAAAAGATGGCCTCCTATAAACCAAGGAGATAGGCCTCAAGAGAAACCAAACACCTTGCTTGACCTTGGACTTGTAGCCTCCAGATCTAGCCTCCAATAGAAAATAAATTTCTATTGTTTAAGTCATCCAATTTGTGGTACTCTGTGATGGCAGCCTGAGCAAACTAATACATCTCAGATAGGCCACAGGTCTTAGAAACTCTTTGGGCTAGAGGCAGGTAGCCCAGAGCCAGATACCGGAAGTTTCCCAGAGGAAGAAATGGGAGTTCCTAAGTAATTTTCAATATTTATAAAAGCCTAAAGGAAATGTATAAAATGCACTCTAAAATTCCAAGTACTTTTGGGTAGAATTGTATCAAGTCAATATGGTCACATCCACTGTCTCATATTCATCCGAGGCTTTAAGTAGCAACATGTGTCTGATTAATTTAAGGTAAAGTTAATCATTTAATAAAGTTGATTTGTTTGGGAAATAAACTACTCAGGGTGTTTGATGGAGAGAAGGTTTGAGCAGGAATCATTGCTTTGAGCCCCAATTCCTTTATTTGGATTCTCCAAGACCCATGCTGTTTAATCTTCTTCTAATTGCTACAGCTCTTTCAGGGGGGAACTGAGCAAATTACATGGCTTTAGTCATTTGTCACCTCAGGGGTGTTTACAGCCACTGTTTTCAAACCTGGAAGCATCACTGACATATGCTAGGTGCTATATTTCTGGTTATTTTCCTGAAATTTTAAGTGAAAATGATCCCAAGTATATTAGTCAGGGTTCTCCAGAGAAACTGAACCCATGGGAGATAGATGATTGATAGATAGATAAATGAGAGATATATATATAGTGAGGTTTATTATGAAGCATAAGCTCACATAATTGTGGAGGGCAAGAAACCCCACAATCTGCCATCTTCAAACTACAGAGGCCCAGGAGATCTGATGGTGTAGTTCCAGTCCAAACTGAAGGCCTAAGAACCAGAGGAGATAACGGTATAAACCTCCATCTAAGTCCCAAGGTCTAAGGAGCAGGAGTGCCAATGTCTGAGTTCAGGAGAAGACAGATGTCCCAGCTCAAGCCCAGAGAACAGATTTGCTCTTTCTCTTTTTGTTTTATTCAATTCCTCAACAGAGTAGGTAATGTCCACCTGCACTGGTGGTCTTTCCTCAGGTGACCGATTGAAATGAGAATTTCTGAAAATACCCTCACAAACACACCTAGAAATCTGGGCATCCCTCAGTATAGTCAAGTTGACTCAAAACATCAATCATCACATGAAGAGAATAAATATGAAAATAGCCTAATTCAATAGGTGGATAGACTAGCGCTTTAATCTAATGGAAACAAAATAAGAAAGCCACAGAACCCGACACATATACTAAAGTATCAGGTGCCTTCAGTGGAAGATATTTTGAAAGTTCAAAAAACAGTATTTTAAACAGAATTGTACATTTTATTTAAAAAGCAATAGCAAATGTAGGAAGAACACAAATTTCTATTAAGAACAGAAATTTATTAAATGCTTGATAGTAAAATATTGAGCCCACTCTATTACAATACACAGGCTTGGTGTTCTAACAAGTAACATGGTCTCAAATCAGGGAAGCCCGTGACGCCAACACAAGCTGGAATCGCGGGGAGCTACGAACAGAAATGTATACTCTTTCTCCGCTTCCACAACAGCTGCAATACTGATGCTCAGAAACATTTAGGCATTGGGAAAAACCTGTAAAATTTCCTGAGTATTCCATTAAACAATTCTTAAAGTCACATGTTACCTTAATGGAAAACATAAACATTTTCTAATGGAAACATCCATTTTAGTATTTATTATCTTCAATAACTGAGAACCAAAATCCCCAAAAGGCCTTACATCATAAGAAAATCTTTGGGGTCATCATAAGGCTTTCCTGCACAAGGTAAATTTCAAAGCAATTTTTCAAGGACTAAATTTTCTTGAATCACCAAGCGAGTGAGAGGCAAAGATAAAAAAGAAATGTCAGGGTTAGCTGATTATTTTCCAGATAACAGGATCTAAAAAATATTGAGGGGAAGTGAGGATTTGGGGATGAGTGGATGTTGGATAATAAAAGAGATGGCTAGGAAAGGTACTGAGACTAGTTAGCATTAACTAACCCGTAGTGTATTTTTGTTGATTAGTCAACATTTTCTTCATGTATATAATTATTTCAAGATAGCATGTCTACAAACTAATTGGTTCATTCCTTTTTCAAGTTAGTTGCAAAGAAATTTTGATTCTGAATATCTAAAGTTATAGCTATTAGCATTTTGATATTTACCCCTACAAATCCCTGGCATTCTCAGCCATGGTGCTTGAATACATGGTTTCTTGATAAAATATCACTAAAATAGAAGTAATGCTGAAAAAAAATACTACCTACCTAGAGCTCAGGGTACTGATCACAACCAGCTTAAACAATTCCTATCAATTAGCTCAAGTAGAACTAAACCAGTTTCACGAATTCACATTATTTAGCTCGCCCAGAAACCAGATCTTTTTCCTATTAGATAATTTAACCAATTTTGTAAAAAAGCAATTATTTAGAAAATCACATCTAAGATTTGCACTCATGCTCACTTAGAAGTATATATTGAATCTTGGCCCTAAATTTGGTACTTCTAGTCCACACTTTGGTACCTTACCTCTTCCAAACTGGACACTTCATTCTATGTATATGACCATCAATGAAAGAACTTGAAAGTAAGGAATGCGAGCTTTAATTCAGATGGAAGTGTTCTGTATTCATATTAATAAGAGAGATAATCTTTTCAAAGGAATGGAAAATGTAAAATCATTTGTGATAATATAAAGTGCTGCAATCATATGTAACCCAAACATATAACCATCTCCAGTATAAACAGCCAGGTCTAACACTACACATCATTTGATTAAAAGGGCTTTTAACCAATACTTTAACAAGGAAACACTGGTGAAAATTGTTTTAAAATATGTAGCCTTGTAAAATGATATATTTCTGAACATTAAAATCTCGTTTCAGAAGTTCCCCGCTTTAGGTTGTTACTCAAAAACTCATCATGTTCAAAACTCAAATTATTGTGAGACCTTGAAATCATAAGAAGCTTCTCCTTATTGGTAAAGTCTTTTTTGATTGCAGCTTGGGGTACAAGCAGCCTCTCCATCGGGTCCTCTTTATTCTCTAGTTTCATATATCCTTTGCTGTTGCTCCGATCCAACCGAGGCCAACTTGGGTGTTTTCGTTGTTCTGCCTGGACAGTTAGGGTGGAAGGACCCCGGTCTAAGTCTAAGGATTTTGAATGTGACGAGAGCAAATGTAAAGATGTGTTGGACCCAAATTGTCTTCTAGCAGCCCCAGGAGATAAGAGCTGTCCAGCCCCAGGCCCAAGGGCCACAGAGGACTTGTACTGGCTCGACAGAGACTCCCCGATGGAATGATTCCTGGGGAGCACCATGCTGACTGGCTGGAAGGACTCATTGGCGTTGGGCAAAGGGACCACAAGGGAATCCATCGACAAATTCCTTGACCTACTTTTGAGGTTCTCAGCGTCCTCGGTGATGTTATCTATACTGGGCTCATCAATAACACAGTTATTCAGTTTGATCACAGGCAATGTAAAAGCGCTGATGGACGATGACACAATTGATTTGGTTTCACATTTCTTAGGGCCGCTGGTCTTATCATCAGTGGTTTTGGAAGGAGGTGGATAGAGGCCAAAGACAGACAGAGAGCTGTCAGCAAGCAAAGGTGGCATAAGATGCCCCAAACTCTTATTTTCGTTTAGCGCCAGCTCATCCTCCTCGACAGAGCTGTCCATGCGAAAACTGCTCCTAAAACCTGAGAAAGGGGCAATGGTATTTGCTGCCAGCCTCGAGGCACAGGAGCTCCCATTCTGTTTTACTTCTGTTTCTCCCATCAAACCAGTGTAGATACCATTCATATGCTTTTGCTCCTTGATTCTTAGCGTGTGGATGTCGATGACTGTGGAATAGATATCCCTCATGTGTATGATTTTGGTTTCTTTGTCACGGTTCTCATGAAGAATGGCATTTGCACAAATGAAAATGAAGATGCCAATCCCCATTGTGAAAGGGCCGAGCATTTTCATTTTGTCAGAATGCAAATGTTGCTCAAAGAAGCGAACCACCACGCCGCCTTGGTTCCGAATGACCTGAGTTTCGTTAGTCGACAGTGTCGTCTCAGCATCAATAAAATGTTCTTTCTGGGGCCAATAGCCGAGGACCGCCATTGCGATTCCTACAATGGAGATAAGCACTCCCAGAATGAGAAAAAAACCAGATGGGGAATAAAGCCGGATTTTGCCTCGAACGACTACGACATCGGCCTGTGGCCGACGCCTGACTGGTTTCTTCTCTTGGGCAGTAGGTGATGGGCTGAGGTTGACGTGATGTTGTGATCTGGCAGAGTCTTGCCTTTTCAAGGCAGCCAGGCCAGTTATCACTCCACCGGTTGCTATCATAGCTCAGTCTGTTCTGAAAAGAAGGAAAAAAGATGATAATCCAATAGTTCTGGGGCATGCTCGTCAGTTCAACAATTGTTTAGATATTTGTGCTGTTGTTTCATGATGAAAAGGGGCCATCTTTTGAATTGACATAGTTTGGGGAGAAGTTTTGTTTACTGGATAATGTAAAATTCTGAAGATTTCCTTTTATGGCTGAATTAGTGTTTCTATTATTAATGAAATGTGAGCTCAAAGTATATTTTACTTTGATAATTTTATCACTTATTATATAAAACAGTCCCCTGGTCACAAAGTACTCTCTCTCTCTCTCTCTCATACACACACACACACACACACCATCTTTCATTATCTGTGTAATTTTAAACAAATGGAAAAATTCAGAACACTTAACAGGCCCCAAACCATCAAACCCTAGACTCACAAAGAAAATACATTCCAGCAACTCACGGTTTAAAATCTCCTCTTGTGAAAGTCACCAATGAACTCTTAACTACCACATTTAATTTCTCCCTCTCCATTCTCAACTTCCTTATTTCTCTGTTTCCATGGACACTGCTGACCCCTCCTTCCTTGAAACTCTCTCTTATCCAGTCTTTTATGATCCTAAGTCTGGCTCTTCCCTGACCTCACTCACTATTTCAATTTGGCCATCTTCCCTCACCTACAAGTAGACCACCTTCCCCTGAGAAGCATATCTCTGGCCATCTTCTCTTTATACCCTCCCATGGCATTCATATCCACTCCTACATCTGCCACCATTACCTCTGTGCTAATGAATCCCAAGCCTGTATTTCAGACTGTAGCCTGAGTTCCCATTTCACATCTCTGACTCTCCACTGGGGAACTCATGTACATTCATGCATCGCTAGAAAAGCTTAACTCCCCTTCCACCAGTGTTGCTTGACTTGTCTGACTTCCTTAATGAGGTCACTTCTCAGGTTTTACTCTTCATAAGCATCTTTAACTCCTCCCTTTCTTCTTCCTCTCATCTTCCAATTGGGTTCTAAATCCTAGAAATATTCACAACCTGCTGTCTCTCAATTCTATCCTCCAACTTAATCCTACCCTTCCCAGCCCATGTCAGCTCTAAGTTACTCTTAGTAGACCATTATCATAACTTCCCCACTGGCCTTCCAAACTCCCAATTTCTCTTCCTCCACAGTCAAAATTATACGCTGAGGACAGGTTAATTATCCGATTATTCTCAAACACAGCTCTCAAGTTGTTTAAAGAGTGGAATAATGGATACAACATTCCCCATCACCTACCAGAGTTAAATCTGGGATTTCAGACCTATGGGATTTAACTTTATCTCTAACTGCCCCCTTTCATTTACATAAAGCTAAAACCCAACAATATTCTCCGTAATTGATAGTATACTATTTCTGGGACTTTGTGAATAATTTCTCATTCATCTAGAGTCCCCCTTACCCTCCATGCCACATTTCACGTATTAAATCTGGCTAGTCATCAAAGTTCACATCCCACTACCTTTAGGAAGCCCTCTCTGACTGACTCAGCAAATCCCACACGAGCCATTTCTCAGAGCATTTTAGCAAGTATTCTATAGCAACTGCTGTATTATAATGCCCCTCTTCTTTCACTTGTTGTGGTCAAACATCCTGTTCGATTCATATCCTATTACCAAAAACATTCAATATGACTTGCACATAGACAGTGTTCAAGAAACATTTGCTTAAATGTTCAATAAGAGAGTAATTCTTTTCCTGAGATTTGCTGGCTGGCCATCACACTACTCTACTAACTTTCCTAGTTAAAAATATGAACAAACAAAATTAATACCGAAACAAAAAGCAACATGTTGTGAGTTGGTGAAATATTTGTCATTATTTGTAAGAATAGTTCCCAAGCTGCCAGATCTGGCTGGTAGGAAACAGAGGATATTTTAGGACTCACAAGGTCTCTGGCAAATTTCTGAGAGAGTTTCTTCACCGCATCAAATCTCCTCTTGTGAAACCAAGCTCCCCTTTGGAATTGCTATTTATGATGTCTGAATTGTGTTTAAATAACCAGGGTTGTGGATGATAGCTACACTTTTAGCTAGCTGAACAAGCTGGTGAGGGAAGCCAGCCTTCAATGGAATTATAACCAGGATTAAAATAGTTCAATGTTGAAAGAACGGACTATACTGTAACCCATCGCGCAAGTCTATGAAATTCATCACAGTATACATACTGCAGTTCAGAACTTCTCCCAAACCCTGGCTACCATGGAGCTTAGTGTCGACCTGTGTTTTCTTAATCCCCGAACAGCGTCAAATGTTTGAATAAAATACTTTGATTAGATAGCAGCCATCTAACTCAGTTATTTCCAGGTGGCAGGATAAGGATTTAGTTGGAAATCCTTCTGAAGAGAATGAAAACAAGGGCAAAGGCTTTCATCTGGTTTGAAAGCCACCACCGCGAATGACCGTTCCATACAGAGTCAGCGTCCACCTCCATTTGTTAAAACACGCCTGCGAGCATTGCCACTCTCCATTCCTGAGGCTGACAGAGGAGAGGAGGCTGGAAGAGAAAATCATATTTGAGAAAGATCGATGAGGACAGGAAGGGAGAAAAGAGCGACAGTGAGTGGGCTTTGTGAGAAAGCAAGCAGGTCAGACTAGACAGGAAGAAAAAGCAAGCGCAGGGGCGCCTGGGTGGCGCAGTCGGTTAAGCGTCCGACTTCAGCCAGGTCACGATCTCGCGGTCCGGTTGTTCGGGATGGAGCCCAGCGTCGGGGCTCTGGGCTGATGGCTCAGAGCCTGGAGCCTGTTTCTGATTCTGTGTCTCCCTCTCTCTCTGCCCCTCCCCCGTTCATGCTCTGTCTCTCTCTGTCCCAAAAATAAACGTTGAAAAAAAAAAAAATTTAAATAATAAAAAAAAAAAAAAGAAAAAGCAAGCGCAGTTTACATGTGAAAACTTACAGCAAATGGAAGGAGAAAAGGGTCCGGGAGGAGTTTAGAAATAAAGAACCGGGTGGGGGGAAAGGAAAGGATCCCACAGCTTCTTCAGCCAGGCTGCCCTGGCCAGGCACAGACAAGGGCGCCATGACTCTCAAGGATCCGAAGTTCAGGTTGGGCGCCAATGCACTCCGTTAGCAAGCTTCTGTGATAACTGAGCCCCAAAGTGACCCGACAGGAAAGCAGAGGTGCTTAAACATAGCCACTGCTTCAAAGAGCTTAAATCCCAGTGAAGGAGCTAGTCTATCCCCATAAAACAGAATTAACACCCCTAGAATGAACATTTCTATCACGGAGGACCATTACTGCGGCTTCTTGCAGGTGACAGCGTGCTAACTTTCTTTACAGTGAAAAGTCACATGAACAGCATTTCAAGTAAGATCAAGAGAAAACAAGGCTGGAGAACAGAGCCCAGGCTTGTCCCAAGCACACAGCTCACCACTGAAGGAGGAAACCAGGTAAGGCTCGCGAGGAAGGGGAAGGCCAGGTCTTGGAAGGTAGCAAATGTCATTCCCAAGTGCTTCAATATTACATTCATAGGCAACAGGACTGGAGTAAGACACAAACACTGTTGTTACCATCTTAGGAAAATTAGTCTCCAGGCAGAAGCAGTACTGAGGGATGGATACTGGTAACAGCATAACGATGCTAATGGCAATTTTGCAAAAAGAAGCCTTTGGATCTGTAAACCTAGAGGGAAAAAACGCACAGGCCTCCGTACCCCCAAACTGCTATGTCAACTTGGTCTACAGTGTTCAGTGTGGGTGAAAGCAGCTGAAATCTATTTTCTAATTTATTTTGAAAAGCCACACACATCCCTCCACCCCACACTTTGACCACTGTGCGTGTGTTCTCTACCATCCCAGGCCAGGGCGGGGACTTATTTCCTCAAAGATCCAAGTGAAAAATTTCACTACGACGCTGTATTTCATTCTGATCACTTGGGCACAGAGTTTGTGCCTCCCAGTCTCTCTGGATCCACAGCTTTACCTAACTTTTGGAACTTGAAGAAAGCCCTGTGGCATTCCAATAGCGCCCTCCTCCCAGGAAGGGCACTGTCAGTCTGTGTAGATACTCAGTAATTAGTAAACACTGATACCTGCTATATGTTCAGGCCTGAAGAATATAATAATCAGCAACTATCTTTTTGAGAAGGCCTTTTGACTAGTTACAAATAAACCGAACTAGAGGGTCAGCCACACTCACTTTCCGTATTCTCCAAAAAGACATCATGATTTTGTCAGAAGTCAAACTGAAAGACAGATATAATCATCTGTGGACAACCAAACATTAAAAGAAATAGTTGAAGTTAACTTTTAGCTCCATATTAATCAGCCTGTTTTCCATTCCCAGCGTCCAGAAAATCAGCCACAATGTTGCTAGCAATAGCTATTATGAGCCTGTAACTTACACAACGCACCTTCTTCCTCACCATGCAAACCAGGTTCCTGCTAGGCTGTCTCCGGGCCTTCACCGTCTTACCCAATCATTGTGGGTCTCAGAAATCAAACAGTAGGAATTCAGTCTCAGTGGCTACCTTTCTCACTGCAGGTGTAGACTCTGGCACTCACTCATGCACTCTTCTCATCTACTTGCCTGCCTGGGGCTCACCTTTCCTTTGGACCATGTTTATTCTACCCCCTCAACCAAAAGCTCTTTCTCCTTCACTGAGCAGATTCCCACTTTGCACATCATCTATCAACACCACACCATCATGTCTCATCATCAGGCTTAAGCTCTCCTATTCTTGCTCTGATAATCGCTTTAAAAGCCTTGTTGTTGCGGTCCTGTGTCCTTTCGCAAGCTTATGAACATTGTAGAATTCGCTCTCCACGGCATTCATCCACATTTAGGATTCACACCCTCACGGAAGCATTTTCCTGTACTCTTATGTCCTCTTCTGACCACACGGACCGACTATTCCGACCGCACTGTGAGCCTCCCACACCTAAGATATGGCTCCCGACGCACACACACACATACATCTGAGACAATGATAAGTAAGTATTCTTGCAGAGTTGGAAAGACTTTAGAT